CTTTTATTTGGGACTCTTGTAGCTTGTGTGGGATTTGTGGCCATCTCTAAACGTCCACACTAAAAGCCTGTGTGTGTTTCCTTTTTTTGAATCTTAAGGCCTTAATTCCTCCCTTCCTTCAGTGTGAGGTGAGCTCCTTCTCAGAGTGAGGCATTAGTGGAATGCAACCTGGATTTTTAAAAGTGCGTAATTGCATGTTTATATGATATCACAACTGAATAGAACCTTGCAAGCATGTTCATGAGAAGGTTGTGGGAAGATCCGGATTTTACGCAGCTTTTGGTTTTCCCGGAGTTTGTCTCTCTAAATCAGAACCTTGGGACCATAATTCTCAAGTTGTGGATAAATGTTTTCCCACCTGAAATTGCAGACTTCTTTTTCCCCCTTGAATCTTTCTGTTCCTGATGCAGCGTTCACCTTTGATGCTTTAGTTAGACACAGGGCAGGCTGTGGGTGTTCTGAGATCTAATGTGAGGGCCAGTCTTTCAATTTGAAGGAAAAAACCAGTGATCCCAGGGAAAGATTTGGTTAACATCTGAGAGAGATTGTTCTTGTGCTAACTGCCCGCTCTTTTTCGGTCTTGAAGAGAGACATGTTCTGCAGAATGAAAATATATAGTTTTAAAACTTCTTGTTAGACACGCAAGAGTACACGCGTGGAGCAATGCCGGTCAATTTCTGTTGCCGCCAATTCTAAGTCAGTTGCAAAGCGGCTTTGATTGTACCAGAATGTAACCCAATTGATTATTGGTTAAAATACCTCCATTGACTGAGAATTGTAAGTTTGTTATACTTAGGTTTTATTTTTTGGCAGCATTTATTATAGGCTTATTATACATTTGAAAATTTAGAGAGTTAAGAACGAAATGATAGCAGGTCTTCTTTTAAAATGAGCAAAAGTCCTGAGAATGGTCCTGTCTGGTTTTTAACCTAAAATGGTCTGTACGCCTTTATAGCTTTAGAGATACATTTTCTGGGCAATTTATTTAAATACTCTTTTGCCCATAAAAGATTGCTGCAGAGTCTTGTGCTGAAACACCCTCAGGAAAGTTACAGGACCCCTGGAACTTAGTGCTCCGAAGATGTAAATTTCAGAGGAAGATGCACACAGTCCAGAGCCTTCTCTAACACTCAGCTGTGACTTGACAGTGTCAATTTCAGCATTGTGCAGAGGCTTCCCAGGGTGCTTGCATACTAAAAAATTTAACCTTGGGAGGCTGAGGTGAGTGGATTGCCTGAGCCCATGGGTTAGAGGCCAGCCCAGGCACCTTGGCGAGACCTCATCTCTACAGTAAAATAAAAAATTTAGCCGGGTGTGATAGCGCGCGCCTCTGGTTCCGGCTACTTGGAAGGCTGAGGCAGAAGGATTACTGGAGCCCAGCAAGTCGACGCTGGGTTGGCTGTGAGCGTGCCACTGCCCTCCAGCCTGGGTGACGGAGTGAGACTCCAACTCTCTCTCTCTCACACACACACACACACACACACACACACACACACACACACACACACACACACACACAAAATAGATCTTAAATGTTAACTTGGATCATATGTGTGCTGGAAGCAACATTAAAGTGGAAACTCGAAATTTCTTCTCATAGTGGATTTAGACACAATTCTGTTAAGCAACAGGACCATTTATTACTTGATTATGATAATTGTCCTTTTATAATGAGACAGGAAGTGTGTATTTGTTGGGTATAGTTGTATATTTTGTCCTAATCTTGAGATTTGCTTAGTCATTTTCCTATTATTGCCACCATACCTTCAATTTAAATTACAGAATTGCCTGCTTGCAGAAGCTTTGGAGAATCAGAGACTCTTGTGGAAAGACTCCATGTAAGATTGGGGATTTGAGACTGGCTCTGCCCTTGGTTGTTCTTGTGAACTTGGTCAAGATCTAGTTAAGAACAGCTTCTTCATAGCCTTGTTGGGAGGATCAAGACAGATAAACTAAATGGAAGGCTAAGTAAAAGTGTCAGGTGAATGCAGACTTTAGTTAATCTATCGGTTATGTCTTTGCTTTGGGTCTTGGTCATGAACCTTAGTCATGCAGAAGGGCTAATTTGTAACGATGGAAGTCAACACCAGAGCACAGTTTTTGCCCCAGTTGTTTGCATTTCCATGTGAATATGTACACATAAAATAGGGAAGGTGGTATTTTCTTTGAGAAAAACCATCTCACACCAGCAGGGTAGGGAGAGGATATTGACATACAAGGTCAGGCTTGACTTTCTGTCCTGGCTTATCATGTTGGTGTTTCTCATGGTCTTGTGATTGTGTGTGGGTATGGGTGGAGGTTGATTTAGACAGACTTTGTGGTTAAAGCAGCAGGTGTTGCCACTGGCCTCCATTCTCTTGGCCGTTCTGCCCAAACTTGTTGGAGGTTTTGATCTGGAAGTTGTGAGAGTGAATGATCAATAACCTGTAGGTTACAAAAAAATATGTAATAATTTATTACATATTTATAATAAAAGAACGGTTAGTGTTTATTAATTGTTCAGTGTGGGCCAAGGATGATTAAGTTTGTTTGTATGTTTCTTCCTTGGTCCTTGGAGACTCCCTGTATGCTAAATACCGAGACTTTTATTTACACCCTTTTATTGATGAGGAGAGTCTATGGGAGTTGAAGGAAAATTGAGTAAATTAGTAAAAGTCATCCATCCAATGATGGCAGAAGCTTCATGGTGGCCCATATCTGCCCCGTACTCTTATGGCCAACGCCTTTTTTTTGGGTGAGGGGGTTGGAGTTTCACTCTGTTGTCCAGGCTGGGGTGCAGTGGCACACTCGCGGCCACCTCAGCCTCAACCTGCTGTGCTCAGACGATCCTTCCACCTTAGCCTTCCAAGTCGCTGGAACTACAGGTGCCGGTCACCATGCCCGGCTAACTTTTTGATTTATAGTAGAGACGATGTCTCCCCGAGTTGACCAGGCTGGTCTTGCACCTGTTGGCTCAGACAGTCCTCTTGCTTTCACTACCCAAAGTGCTGGGATTACAGGCATGAGCCGCCATGCCTGGCTTCCATGTCCCTTTTGTAATAACTGTGTTCCTTTAGGTTTGAGCTAGAGAGGGTTGCATCAGGCCTTTGAAGAACCTAAACGATGCAACAGACTGCTACAGTCTCAGGCTGTTAACAGACTAAGCTACGAACTGGGTGGATCCCAGGCCTGTCGTTTGCCCTGTGCTGTGAAGGTCAGAATCACAGTGTGCATTGGTGGGAATATGGACAAGTGTCTTGCTCTCACCTTTGCTGGCTTTGCAAATTCCTTGGTGCCCTGGGAAGGCTTAGGCCCCTGAGGGACGTGAGTGTAACTTATGGGAACCTTTGAAAATCTGTAACTTGGGAGGTACACCAGGACGGTTCATTTTTCTTGGGTCTTGGGTTCTAAGTGCTCATAGAATGTTGGCCTCCAGGGTCTGGTATTTCTTTTCCAAAAGATGCCTCAGATATGTTCTTCCTTTGTTCACAATGCTGTCACTCCTATTTGGGGTCCTACCACTTTTATGCTTGGATAATGGCAGCAGCCCCAGTTTCCCCGCTGTTAGACTCTTGTTTCTAGCCAGACCTTGATGATATTGCCAGATTCAGTTTATGCAGAGATATCCGGTGTATTAAATGTCTGCGTTGACTTTCTGAACTGTCCATAGTTTATTCCTTTTACTCAACATTACTTCCCAGTGCTGTGTGCTCAGTATGTGCATTAGTCTGGTCAGTTACAGTTCAGTTACTGCCCCTCTGTATCTATGGGGCACTGGTTCCAGGCCCCTGAGGGTACCAAAATCCACAGATGCTCAAGTCCTTGATACGAAATGATGTAGTGTTTGCATGTAATCTTTGCACATCCTCCTGGATGCTTTAAATCATCTCCAGATTACTTATGGTCTTCAATATAACGCAAATACTGTGTAAGAAGTTGTTATATTGTTTAGGGAATAATGACAAAGAAAAAAGTCTGTATGTGTTCAGTACAGATGCAGTATATTTTCTTTCTTTCTTTTTTTTTTTTTGAAAGCAGGATTTATTAAGAAGACAGAGAAGCTCCCAGAGTGGGAGGGGACCTTAGGGGGTTGCCCCTTTTCCAAATATTTTCTTTCCACAATTGATTGAACCCGAGATGTGGAACCTGTGGCCACAGAGGGTGATTGTGTTGACCGTCCCGTTTCTGCATCTGTTCGTGTCTCCTTCAGTTCCCCCCTGGTCATTAGCATGTGCTGGTCTCTCTGTCTGCAAATCCCTGCTTCTTTGGGGCCTGTGTAAACCTCTTCTCTAATTCAAGGCTTCGTTTTATGTTCCCACCTGGAAAACGTTTCTCTGATTCCTCTCGCCTCGCTGCTCTCTTTCTTCTTGGGCCTCCTGAGTCCTATACTTTGTCGTGTCTTTTTTGTTGTTTGTCAAAAGTTTTTAACTAGGGCACGTGACTTCAGGACCACGATTCCTTAATCTTCTCGGGGCCTCTATGGTAGGTGTGAGGTCACTCCCCGATGACAGATTGTCATCTCCACTGCAGTGTTAAGCATGGTGCCCAAAATTGAGAGACATACTGAAATAAAACCTACATAAAGAAAATTGCTAGCCGGGCTCGGTGGCTCAGCCTGTCATCCCGCGCCTTTGGGAGGCTGAGGTGAGTGGATTGCCTGAGCCCGCGGGTTCGAGACCCGCCTAGGCAGCGAGACCTCATCTCTACAATAAATCAAAAAATCAGTCGGGCGTGGTAGCGCATGCCTGTAATTCCGGCTACTCGGAAGGCTGAGGCGGAAGGATCGCCGGAGCCTAGCGGGTCGAGGCTGCAGTGGCCGGGAGCGGCCACTGCACTCCAGTCCGGGCGACAGAGTGAGATTCTGACTCAAAAAAAAAAAAAAACACACACACAAAAAAACCAAAAAACAAAACACAAAAAAAGAAAATTGCTGCGACTTTAAGTGTATTTGTTACTTGGCTGCTGTGTTGAAGTTTTGTTTTTGTTTTTGTTTTTGTTTTTCTTCTCCTTTGTCTTGCAAGCCATCAAAGAGAAGTACACAGACTGGACCGAATTTCTCATACGTGACTTGACTGGCTCGAGGACAGCTCCTGCCAACCTCCTGGAAGGTGTATGTATTGTTCTTGTACATCTAACGTAGCTCTGAAGCCTCCCAGTTACGCGTGCTCAGACATATATCCTTCTGCTGATAGATACACGCCTACGCGCAGATGTCGCTGTCCAAATAGCCCGACCTTCTGTTTCGTCCCAAATGCCTTAGGTGACTGATTGAAATGGCACTGATGCATCTTCCCCTATGGTACTATTAATGCATGGAAAATTTGCTGTGTGAGCATATGTGTGCGCTGACGTGTAGTCCCTTGGAGTTATTGATCAATGGTTTCGTGAAATGCTCTTATTTCAGATACATAACCCCAAGGTTTGAACATACATATGTTGACTAAAAATTGAATTAGCTTCCCTTGTTAAAAACAAGAGAAGTGGCCAGGCTGGGTGGCTCGGCCTGTCATCCCAGCACTTTGGGAGGCTGAGGCAAGTGGATTGCCTGAGCCCGCGGGTTTGAGACCGGCCTGGGCAACTTGACAAGACATCGTCTCTACAATAAAATCAAAAAATTAGCCAGGCATGGTAGCACACACCTATAGTTCCAGCTACTTGGAAGGCTGAGGCGGAAGGGTCGCCAGAGCCCAGCAAGTTAACGATGGGGTGGTGGTGAGCATACTGCTATACTCTAGCCTGGGTGACAGAGTGAGACTCCAACTCAAAAAAAGAAAAAAAAGAGGAGAAATGTCAGACCATATTAAATGTAGTTAATGCATCTTTAAGGGACTGAGGAAAAAATAGTTTTATCTGAATTTTTGATGGTTCACTGGAAAATAATTTTAAGATGAAACATTTTAATATTTATTCTATGTAGTAGAACAAGAAGATAAAGGCACTGTGTCATAAATAGTCATTGAATTGCCAATCTGTTTTGTTTTTGTTTTTTTAAGTCAAGGTCTCACTTTGTAACTGAGGCTGGAATGTAGTGGCATGATCACAGCTCACTGCAATCTCAACCTCCTGGGTTCAGGCGATTCTTTTGCTTTAGCCTCTGGAGTTGCTGGAGACTGGGACTATAGGTGCATGCATGCTACCATGTCCAGCTAATTTTTGTATTTTTTGTGGAAATGAGGTCTTGAACTTCTGGGCCTAAGCAGTCTGCCCACCTTGGCCTCCCAAAGTACTGGGATTATAAGCGTAAGCCACTGCGTCCAGCCTCCAAGTCTGTTTTTTTCAAGTGTACCCCTAAAATGTGAAAAACTTTATTAACAACAAGGAATAAGGTGTGGATTTTCATGGTATTACATTCCCTTAACCATAACCTTTTCTCTTCTCATAAGTGATGTTAATACTTTAGAGTGTCACTGTTTAATAGTTAACAGGTTTTGTTTTGCAAAGATTTTTCCTGATGTATTTGTTATATATTTTCATAGTGACTATTTTAATTGTTTGTTAATAAATCAAAATGATCAGGTTTACCCTTCCAAAGGGACAAAGTTTCTTTCTATGTCAATTTTCTTAAACATATTTGCCGACAAGGCTGGCTGAACAAACACCCTTTTCATATGCTAACATATGCTAAGAAGGTTCTTTAGAAGGGACAGTAATTATATATTCTGGAAACCAATTATCAGGTTAAGTGTAGAAATAACTTTACATAATAGTCTAATTTACCTGATTGTTAATGTGTGTTAGACATGTCATCTACACACACACTCATGCTTTCCTCACTTAATCGAAAAATGAGAGCATTTTGGTCATTAGCATAGTGGCCAGAATAAGATGACTGTGAATATCTGTTGGAGAGTCATGGGATACATTGATAGCCCTGCATTAGAAATATCTGTCTATTGGAATAGTAGACATTTCACCACCACATGTTGTCTAACTCCAGGCAAATTTGAGTAGAACTCTTCTTAAAAGCATACCGATTTCTGACAAATGCTGTTTTGTCTGGGAAGGGTGATTTGTTTGGTGAGAACTTAGCGCAAACTGTTATTTTCTATTGACTTGTGATTTTGGTTGTTGGAGACGTAATTGGGGGTGTGGATGTGTGTGAGGGAGAGGGGGCGGGGTAGGGGCCTGACTGTGCAGGGCTGGGGGCGGAGGGAACACCAGACTGTTTGCCGGTCGCTTGGATGATGGTGTGAAAAAATATTATCTTCTGCTGTCATCTGTTTCCATGAGAACCTGAAAATAAAGTTTAAAATAAGGAGTTTTGCTTCTGTTTAAACAGCCTCTGCGAGGGAAAGGCCCTATAGACCTCATTACAGTTGATTCCTTAATAGAACTTCAGGACTCTCAGAACCCTTTTCAGTACTGGATAGTTAGTGTGATTGAAAATATTGGAGGAAGATTACGCCTTCGCTATGTGGGATTGGAGGACACTGAATCCTATGACCAGTGGTTGTTTTACTTGGATTACAGACTTCGACCAGTTGGTTGGTGTCAAGAGAATAAATACAGAATGGACCCACCTTCAGGTAAGGGCCGACGCTTTTGCTGCTAAAAGGTGTTGGAGAAGACGGGATGTCTTCTGGGATGATCTCTGGAAACTCTATGACTTCTGTGGTATCTTTCACATCTGAATGTGTGTATATTAAACAGTTTAACTTCACAGTACTTTCCACAGAGAATAAAACCCAAAGTCTCAATTGGTAGTTTCCTCAAAGGAGAAAACAGTGTTGGAGGCTTTAGCGAAGTTGGTCTAGATTCTTTGGAATCCTGGTTCCAAAAGGAAAGACACAATAGATGGAAACATGGGCTTTTTCTTTACTTTTTTTCTTTAGGGATTTTGACAGTCTTGTAAAGTAGTCTTGTAAAATCTCCATTTGTTCTAGCATCTGCCTTTCTCTCCACCTGTCCACTCATCTACTCATTTATCTACTTATCCATCTTTTCATCTATACATTTATTTATCCATTTATCCATCTACTCATTCAGCATCCATCCATCCATCCATCCATCCATTTATCCATGTACTTACCCACCTACGACACATCCATCCATCCATCCATCCATCCATCAATCACCAACCCATTAATCTATCCATCCATCCATCCATCATCAACCCATTGATCCATCCATTTATCTATCCATCCATCCATATTCATCCATTCATTTTCCATTCTTCCATGTACTCACCCACCCACCTACCAATCCATCTCCCATCCATTTATCCATCATTCATTAATCCGTCTATCCATCCATCCATCCACCCCCTATCCATTTATAAATTTATCCATCCTTCCATATTTATCGGTTCATTTACCAATTCATCCATGTATTCACTCACCTACCCACCCACCTACACATCCATCTATTCATCCATCCACCCCTACCCATTTATCCATCCATCCATCTTCATCCATCCATCATCCATCCATTTATCCATGTACGTACCCACCCACCTCCTCACTCATCCATCTATCCATCCACCCATATGCATCCATCCATCCATCCATCCATCCATCCATCCATCCATCCATCTTTCGATCTACCCATCCATCCATATTCGCCATCCATTTACTCATTCATTCATGTACTCACCCACCCACCTACCCATCCATCCATCCATCCATCCATCCATCCATCCATCCTCCTGTCTATTTACCCATCCGTTTATACATCTGTCCATTTATCCATCCATCCATTCATCCATTAATCCATCTATCCATCCATCCATCCACCCCTATCCATTTATAAATCCATGCATCCATCCATCTATCCATCCATTCATCCGTCTGTCCATCTTTCGATCTACCCATCCATCCATATTCACCATCCATTTACTCATTCATCTATGTACTCACCCACCCACCTACCCATCCATCCATCCATCCATCCATCCATCCTCCTGTCTATTTATCCATCCATTTATACATCTGTCCATTTATCCATCCATCCATCCATCCATTCATCCATTAATCCATCTATCCACCCCTATCCATTTATAAATCCATCCATCCATCCATCCATCCATCCATCCATCCATCCATTCATCCGTCTATCCATCTTTCGATCTACCCATCCATCCATATTCACCATCCATTTACTCATTCATCCATTTACTCACCCACCCACCTACCCATCCATCTATCTGTCCATCCCCCCTCCCATTTATTCAACCATTTATGATCCATCCATCCATATTCATGCATCCATCTATCCATCTGTCTTAATATCCAAACCTCAGTTCATTCCGACTAGGAAACAGCCCTGAGATGATCATCACGCTCTTTCCTCCTGGCTGCTCATAGATTTTAGCACGCTTTCAATGCACTGTCTAATAAATTTGCACAGGCTTAATTGGATAGAATAGTGCATTATGCTTTTTGACATACCTAACTAGTCAGAAATCTCAGTATTTACAAAATAACCATTCTTGAATGTTTACAAGGTGCCAGGTGATTTTACATCTGGTGTGTTGTTTATTTTGGTCCCCAAAACGTGCTGTGTGTTTGGTGTGACTTTCATTTCACAGCAGAGAACACTGAGTCTGGGGTTAAGCCATCTGTCTGAGGTCCCTCGCTTTAGCAGGCAGGCCCAGGTGCCACCCCCTTCCACCCCATCCCCCTGCTGCCTCATCTTATCAGTCCTTTGATGGGAAACTTCAGAACAGAAATGTTGGATTCTTGTGGAATCAGAGATGTCAAAAAAATAAAGACTTATCTCCTTCAGAAAGTGCCGATCTCCATTCTGGTCAGTTTCACAGGCATATTTAGAAGAAGGACTTGGCCCTTTGCTTTGTTTACATCACCAGAAAATTTCTCTCTCGTGCTAGTGGCTGACGTTAGTCTTGAGTACATGAAGGTGAGGAGGTATATTTATCTCTCTGTCACTCAGGGGCTTTGATTTTTAAAAACTTCCTGGTTCTGTCTACCATGTGTTTACATTGTATTAAGTCTGACAGGCACATAGACGTGTAAACATGGCATTGTATTAGTATTATTGTTGTCAAAAGGTGGAGCAGCAGCCAAGAACTCCATTTATATCCTGAGTAATTTTGAACTCTGGTGACAAACCAGGAACCTGTCGTGTTGTGAGAAAGAGCTAAGCTGGGGTGGGCCCTGGGATTCATCACCAAGCAGGAAGAATTGCCTTTGTGGCAGAACGTTGTGGGTATAAATCTCAGCTCGGTCCCTAATTGCTTTATAAATTTCAGGAGAAATATATACTTGCCAGTGTTCAAATTTATAGCAAAGCAAAGGATTACTAGTGGCTTCTTATTTCTCTGTAATGTTTCTTTCCTGTGAAATTATGGGACTCGCCCTCAGAAGCAAGAATGGAACACGTCTCTGTAGGAACTTAAGAAATATTTGCTTGTGGCCTTGTTCCCTCTTTAAATAATTTGCTGCCCTTGTAATATAAGAATAAATTATATTTATATGTATTAGAATTTTCTGGAAGTGAGTTGCCCGTTTCACGGAAAAGTTCATGGCGGGGGGGGGTCCCTGAAGATTTTAGAAAAGGCATCTATCGCCAGTAACTTATTTCCCCAGTATTTAAATTACTGTCAGCTAGAAAGGTTATTATAGGAAGAAGAAAACAGGTGAAAAGACACTCAAAGAGTGACTTGGGGGCCAGGAGTGATGACTCATGCCTGTAATCCCAGCACTTTGGGAGTCTGAGATGGGAAGATTGCCTGAGCCTGGGCAACCTAGCAAGACTTTGTTTCTAGAGAAAATACAAAAATTAGTTGGGCACGGTGGCACATACCTACTTGGGAGGCTGAGACAGCAGGATCGCCTGATCCTAGGGGGTTGGGGCAATGGTGAGCCATGATCGTGCCACTACACACTCTAGCCTGGGCAACAAAGCGAGACCCTGTCTCAAAAAAGAAAGTGTGACTTTGAGTTCCTCAGATGTAGCAGCTACAAGATGAAGACTAGATTCTGTTACGTCAGTCGGCAGAAACACACCCCTGGAAAGGAAGGGAGTTATTGATTACTCATGTTTTCACATGGGGACAGAGCCTGATACTTTGGATTGGTATAAATTAATTTCAAGTCCCAGGGTGACTTGTACAAATTACCTGGCAGCACCCTTTCCTTCACTGAAACATAGGTGGGAATAACATTTCAAGGCCTGCGTAGAAAATAATTAGGTCAATGTTTGCGTTTCCCCAAGTGTCACTACACCAGTGAAAAGTGTCCAGCAGTGACTGATGGTGAGAAGTCTAGTTGGGAGGGTGGCAGAGAGTGCAGAAATGATGAGGCTTTATGAGCTCATCCTGTGTTCCGGCCCCTCCCTGCTGTGTCCCCTCCCCCGCCCCAATACTGCCACCATTGGTAAAAACAATCCTGCTTTTGTTTTACTTACTCTTTTTACTTTCGGAGGGGCACGGTATTTCTCACCTGTTCCATAAAAATAGAGGGAGTAGAAAGAGATCTTAGAAAGTAGCCGGAGCCGGACTCGGTGGCTCAGTCTGTAATCCCACACCTGGGGAGGCTGAGGTGAGTGGACTTCCTGAGCCCGCAGGTTAGAGACCCGCCTGGGCAACTTGGCGAGAACTCATCTCTACAATAAATCAAAAATTAGCCGGGCGTGGTAGCGCGCGCCTGTAGTTCCAGCTCCTTGGAAGGCTGAGGCAGAACGATCGCCGGAGCCCAGCCAGGTTGAGGCTGCGGTGGCTGGGAGCGGCCACTGCACTCCAGTCTGGGTGACAGAGTGAGACTCCAACTCAAAAAAAAAAAAGTAGCTGGGAAGCGAGTGTTCAGAAACGCTGGGGAAAGGTACTGGATTTTATACACTCTGCCTCTGAGAAACTTAGAGTCCTTGAGGCTTTTGGATTTCTGGCCCAAATCAGAAAAAAAAAATAAAATAAAATAGCCTTCTGGTGCTTGGGGAGGGAGGAGAAGAAAGAGTGGAAACAGCCACTTCGCTCTGTAAAACGAGGATAGTTTTGCATTTGCCAGACTGCTGGGTAAGTGGTATGATGTCTGTCAAGTGATTGACATCTTCTAGGGATTCAATACAGTGGTTTTCTGAGTTTAAGTAGATCATTGAACTCAAGGGACATTGAAGAGGTGTCACCTGCTTTCCTGTTTCTGGATGTTTAGAAGGCAAGATGGACTTCTAGAAGTTCTCACAGAAGCTTAGAGGATGAAACTTTTTGAATTTTTTTCCTTCTCTATTTCTGGAATTTTAAAAATATTTTTTCTTTCTAAATCTCTTCAACCTTATTTAGGTTTTTAAGTTCTTGTTTGAGATAATTACTGGAAGTTTCTGAAGCTTACCTGAATATTTCTTGCTGGAACTGATCCTTAGTCCAAAAAAAGAGTTGTTGCTTTCTATATTAGTCGGTTCAGAAGGCCATAATGAAATTCCACGGACGACACTGGCTTAAACAACAGGTGTTTATTTTCTCAAAGTTCTGGAGGCTGGAAGTTCACGATCCAGGTGCCAGTGTGATTGGGATCTGCTGAGGGCTCGCTTCCTGGTTGGCAGATTGCCACCTTCTCATTGTGTCCTCAGATAGTAGATTTAGAGAGAGCCTGGAGGTCTTACAAGGACACTAATCCCATCTTGAGAACCCCACCCGTAAGACCTCATCTAATGCTAATTAGCTTCCAAAGACCCCATCACCAGATCCCATCCTGTTGGGGTTAGGACTTCAACATAAGAATTTTGGAGAGACACCAACATTTCATTCATGACACTTTCTAATGTGTCCAACACTTTCTTAACAGCTGCAAATGGGTCTATTCTCCCTGGGACGGACCTTGAGAGGCAGGAAGGATCAGAGGTGTTGAGGAGGGGTGCATGAATAAATGGTCACCCTCAAGGCCTTCCTTTATGATTACTGCATGCTTTCCTGCTTTCTGCAGCACTTGTTAGGAAACAGCCCCCCAAACCCCTGCACAAGGGGAGATTGCCTCTTTTTCTTATGGGCTTCTAGTTACAGGTGACTCAGGACACATTCTAATTGATTGCCACCTCCCCACAGGCAGACACTGCACACTATTCAATGCCCTGCAATGCGGCCATTGCAGGAAAATGTTTTATGTTCTTTTAATGGTGCTCTTTATTGTCCGTAAACTTGCCAGTGTAACCTGAGTGCCCCCACCTTGGGAGACACACCGGGGAGGATTTCTCTGCCCCTGGATCTATGGGCCGGTTAGCCTGTGCTGGCGCTCAGGTTGGCTGAGAGAAGCGTAGTTGGTTTGCATCTTTTTTTTTGTTTTTTTTTTTTTTAGTTGGAGTCTCACTCTGTCGCCCAGACTGGAGTGCAGTGGCCGCTTCCGGCCACCGCAGCCTCGACCTGCCGGGCTACGGGCGATCCTTCCGCCTCAGCCTTCCAAGGAGCCGGAATTACAGGCATGCGCTACCATGCCCGGCTGATTTTTTGATTGATTGTAGAGATGAGGTCTCGATGCCCAGGTGGGTCTCGAACCCGCGGGCTCAGGCAATCCGCTCACCTCAGCCTCCCAAAGGCGCGGGATGACAGACTGAGCCACCGAGCCTGGCTGGTTTGCATCTTTTAAAAAGAAGCATGCCTTGCCATGGGGTTCGATTCCAGGTTAGGATTTAGTCTCCTCAGAAAGAGGGCAAAAAATCTTCAGAACGTAGGGCAGAGGCAGGGACCTTCTGGAACCTGGGTGTCTTGTTGCCTTGGTTCCTTGGTGAGGAAGTGAGATGACGCGGAGTGGATGGAGGGGTCAGTGCTCACAGATGACTTGGCCCGTCTGTCCTCCTGGGCCGGTGTGTGGGGTTGAAGCGCTTTGGCATCACCCCGCCGAGTTCTGATAGCTTGGACCTAAACCTGATGGTGTCTGGATTTCCATTCCCATTGGTCTTGAGTAATTTTTTTTTTTTTTGAGTTGAAGTCTCACTCTGTCGCCCAGACTGGAGTGCAGTGGGCCGCTCCCGGTTACCGCAGCCTCGACCTACCAGGCTCCGGTGATCCTTCCACCTCAGCCTTCCGAGTAGCTGGAACTACAGGCACGCACTACCACGCCAGGCTGATTTTTTTATTTATTGTAGAGATGAAGTTTCGCCAAGTTGCCCAGGCGGGTCTTGAACCCTCAGGCTCGGCCTCCCAAAGCGCTGGGATTACAGGCTGAGCCATCGAGCCCGGCTGAGTAATTTTTTTTGACCACTTTTTGACCCTGTTTTCTGTCTCAGGGCCTCTCTTCCCCACTTGGAGACCATTGTCCGGGGTCAAGGGTATAACTAGTCCAGATTACAGAGCGAGAGAGCTGCGGGTGCCAGTGAGGTAGACGGGCTCTGTCTCTTCCTCGCCCTTTGTGTCTTCAGTCGCTTTCATTGCTGTTGACTCTGGAAGTCCCCATGGTTTTTCGTGAGTCAGCCCTTCTCCTTCCTTGCCGAGGTTGAACTTTCTGTCTTGCTACTTGCAAATCGCTGGAGCAGGGAGTTTGTTCATGTCTTAGCGGGAGGTCCAGCATCGTGTTTGGTCTTTCACTTCTGACCCTGTGTTGGTGTCCCCTGCATGGCCTCCCTCTCCCCAAGCATCGGCTGCAGGGCCTCTGGGTCTGCCCCATGAGTGTGCCCCAAAATGTTCCTCGAGTAATCTCATGGAGCAATTTCCAGGGCTCTGAACGTGTCCCTGTGCCTTCTTTGTGGGACCCCGTGACAAGGAATACCTTTCTCCACACCTCTTCTCACCGTGAAGGTCAGCGGAACCTCATTGACTCTGTCTCTTCAGAGTGTGTGTGCATGGAGGCCCCACTGTGTGCTCCAAATATGGTAGACTCCACTACTAAGAAGAATGAATTCTATTTTTGTTCTAACTTAGAAATGTCATTGGAGGAGAGAGAGAGAGAGAGAGAGAGAGAGAGAGAGAGAGAGAGAATCCCCTTGGAAGCAGGAGACAGACAGTATTCACAAGGAAAGGAAATGTTTTCGCGTGTAACCCTTTGTGTGTCTTTGTGTAACTCACAATGACAGTTCTCACTGCCTTGATGACTGGGCTAGTTCCCACAGTATCTCACACCTACTGTCATTATGTCCTGAAAAGACTGAACAGACAGCTAAAACAGGGGCTTACAGCTCAAGGTGAGTTCAGAAGCTATGAGGATCAAAATATATGGCTTCATGCTAAAAAGCAGACATGCAAGAAATTAAAAATACAGTCCCAAAGGCTTAATGTTGCCGTCTAACTGTACTTAAATTCATATTCATATCCTAAGTGTCTGTCTGAAGTAGCCCAGGTTGATATAGTGGAGGCATAAACATACCTACCTTCAGTGAGTGCTTCCGCAAATCCTATTTTGATAAGGTCTTAAATCTGTGGCGATCAGGCCATAAAATTCCTCTGCAGTTTCAGCAATAGGTAAAAACAGTGCTCGACCATTTTTTCCCCTGTTAATTTGGCATTCAGGCTGTGTAACCTCCGTCCGTAAATCTCTCTCCCCACCCCGCCACCTGGGGGAAAATATGGCCAACATGTGGTGTGTTAAGCAACATTTCAAGTGTAAATATTAAACTTGGTTGGTAAATTTTCATTTACCTTTTAATAATTTTCCGACTCACGCGGGCTATTTTTAGCGTATGAGAGCTTAGAGACTTAGTGAAAAATATGTTGTAATAACTGCAAATGCCAGATCAGAGTCGTTTGTCGTTAAGAAAGGCACCAGATAATAAGTTCCTCATCAGTGGGTATGGCTTCCTGGGTGATGTGTGGAAATTTGGCCCACAGATGACTGAAGGTTTGGCTAATGTGATTAACACCATTAAATGACTTGCAGACTGCCAACAAAACGCATACAAATGTTCCCCCAAGAAGAGCCCTATTAAGTTTATTCTTCATTTCTGACAGCAGGAATCCCAAGTGGCTATTTAATTTTAGAAAATCCTTTTAGCAGGTGGCTGTTTATGGCAGGCAGGGTGTGAGCTCTCGCTGTGGGTCCTGGGAGTGCTGAGGTGTCGGGAAGCCCTGGGAAGATAAAAATGCAAGCGAGAACCAACCCCGGGCAGAACATGTTAGTGCTTAAACTCTTCTGTGGTTTGCTGTTGACACAGAAATCTATCCTTTGAAGATGACCTCTGAATGGGAATGCGCTCTGGAAAAATCCCTGATCGATGCTGCCAAATTTCCTCTTCCGATGGAAGTATTTAAGGTAAGGTGCTGATTCTTGGCAATTTATCTGCTCTTTTCAAGAATGAAACCCTTTAAAGAGTGTTCCGTGTCAAATCCTTTTCCACTTTAAAAAGCTCCCATCTTGGCCAGTTTTCATTTTCAGTATTTCGGGTTTTAACTGTTCCCTGTGGCTGCTTTTTAAATTTTCTTTTGTAATTTTCATAAAGCCCCATAGTCCAAAGTGCCTATTAAGACTTTTGAGGTTCCCTGTTTTTCTCTGTAATGGATTTGTTTTAGCGCGATTTGCCTTGCTATGAAGGGATATCCGAGGCTGGGTGATTTATAAAGACACGAGGGTCGTCTGGCTCACAGTTTTGCATGTCACCTTTGCATGTCACTGGCATCTGCTTGGGCTTCTGGTGAGGTCTCAGTAAGCTTACACTCAAGGTGGAAAGTGAAGGGGACCGGAGTGTCACATGGCGAGAGAGGAAGGGGAAGGGGGTGCCTGGCACTTCTTAGCAACCACATCTCTGAACTAGTGGAGGAAGAAAGAACTCGCTCATTACCGCGGGGAGGGTGACAAGCTGTTTTTGAGGAGATCCCTCCGCCTTGTGACCCAAATACCTCCCACCTACCGGCCCCACTGCCAACATCCCAGATCAAATTTCAGCAAGAGGTTTGGATAGGAACATCTAAACTATATCAGTATTATTAGCGAAATCTCATTTTTACCCACTCACCTCCCACCACAGAAACAAAAGAAAATATAACGAGTCTAATTTCACTCTTTTTTGGTAAAAATGGTAGAAAATGGGTTGGATGCCGTGACTCAGACCTGTCATCCCAGCACTTTGAGAGACTGAGGCGGGAGCACTGCTTGAGCCCAGGAATTCGAGACCAGCCTGGGCAGCATAGCAAGAGTTTGTCTCTACGAAAAAAATTTTAAAAATTCACTGGACATGATAGCGCATGCCTGTAGTTCAGCTACTTGGAAGGCTGAGGCAGAAGTCTCGCCAGAGCCTAGCTGGGGTGGCCATGAGCATGCCACTGCACTACAGCCTGGGTGACGGAGTGAGATTCCGACTCAAAAAAAAAAATAGGGTAGAAAATGAAGCTTCTCCTGATAGTTCAGTTTTCTTGCTGTCCTGAGTATCTCTCAGTCCTCAGCCTTCCTCCTGGTGCTCCTACTAAGATGAAGGGCTTATGGACTACACCATGGACACGGTTGCCAAGGCCTCACCACTTTTAAAATGAAGGTTCAGGCTTGGGCAAAATAAGAGTTTTAGGTTCTGTCCAAGAGTGATCCATGCAGGTCAGAGGACTGTCATGAAGCAAGCTAATCTTACCAGGCTCTGGAATGGGTAGGGGACCGCTCCCCCTGACTGGCTTCCTTGGGCAGTTCTCCATGGGGTTGTGGTAGACAGCACTAACTTGCTTCTCAGCCCTGAGGAGGTATGTGTCCACAGCATGGGGTGTTTCCTAGGAAAGGTGAAATTAACAAGGTGTTAGGATACCATAAGCTGCAAGAGTTGATGGTACTGGCTGGCGGGGCGTGGGCTTCCTGGATTTTCCTGACGCCTGAGTCTTCACTCACACTTCTCAGCAGTCGTGGCGAATCGTTGACCCTTTTTACTACGATTTTTTTTTTGAGGTGGGATTTTTCTCTATTGCCTGGGCTGGAGGGCAGTGGCACGATCATGGCTCACCACCGCCTTGACCAACTCCTAGGTTCAAGTGATTCCCCTGCCTCAACCTCTTGAGTACCTGGGACTACAGGCGTGCACCACCACATTCAGCTCATTTTTTTTTTTTTTTTATTGAGTTGGAGTCTCATTCTGTCGCCCAGACTGGAGTGCAGTGGCCGCTCCCGGCCACCGCAGCCTCGACCTGCTGGGCTCCGGCGATCCTTCCGCCTCAGCCTTCCGAGTAGCTGGAGTTACAGGCGCGTGCTACCAGGCCCGGCTGATTTTTTGATTTATTGTTGAGATGAGGTCTCGCTGCCCAGGCGAGTCTCGAACCTGCGGGCTCAGGCAATTCACTCACCTCAACCTCCCAAAGGCGCGGGATTACAGGCTGAGCCACCGAGCCCGGCTTCAGCTCATTTTTTTATTTTTTATTTTTTGTAGAGACGAGGTCTTGCTATGTTGCCCAGGCTGGTCTCAAACTCCTGGCTCAAGCGATCCTCCCTCCTCAGCCTCCCAAAGCACTGGAATTACAGGCATGAGTCACCCTGCCCGGCCAGCCATTGATTTTTTTTGTTTAGCACCTCACCTGTTTGTAAAACTGGACTTATTTAGAGCCTGTCTTCACCATGGCCATCTAGTGATGTTCTGATGTTTAATTGAATAATGATCTTTACAGTATAATCATAATACACTGTTAGCAGGCACAGCAACTGATGAGGAGACTTTGTCTTTCATGGACATGTTTGTTGTTTTTTTGGCTGACTGGCCAAGCACTTGTCTCTCCTCCAGTCCTCTTCCCCCTCCCTCCTCTCCCTTTTCCTTCTTATTCCTTTCTTCTTTTAATCTTTTTGTGAAAAAACAGTCGCAAAGTCTGAGCACTCAATCTTTTGTCCGTATCAGGTCCGTGGCCTCCACCTCATCCAGGCGGGGTCCACCCTCTTCCGCAACCTGGATTATATTTGAATGTGTAAATCTGGTCACATCCCTCACCCTTGTTTTGCTTTTTTTTTTTTCTCATTTATTTCTTTATTATAGATCTGTGGGTATAGGTGAGGGTTTACTGCCTAAGTAGGCTGCATGCTGGTGAAGCTTGGGTGTTTTTTGTTTTGTTTTTGGTTTTTTGAGTTGGAGTCTCACTGTGTCACCCAGGCTGGTGTGCCAGGGGCATGCTCATGGCCACCGCAGCCTGGACCTGCTGGGCTCCAGTGATCCTTCCGCCTCAGCCTTCCAAGTAGCTGGAACTACAGGCGAGCTCTATCACACCTGGCTAATTTTTTTAAAAATTTATTATAGAGGCAAGGTCCAAGTTGCCCAGGCTGGTCTCAAACCCGTGAACTCAGGGGATCCTCTCACCTCAGCCCCCTAAAGTGCTAGGATTACAGGTTTGAGCCCCCACGCCCAACCAAAGCTTGGGTTTCTAGGTGACCCTCAACCCCCTGGTAGTGGAACAGGTATGCTTTGTGTGTTGTCACGGTTTTGCTTTGTTGCCCCAGCTGGAGTGCAGTGGTATGATGATGACTCACTGTAGCCTCCAACTCCTGAGCTCAGGTGAATCTCTTCCTTCAGTCACCCGAGTGGCTGGAACTATAGGCTTGTGCCTCCATGCCTGGATAATTTAAAAAATTCTTCCTAGAGATGGGGTCTTGCTTTGTTTTTGTTTTTGTTTTTTTTTTAAGTTGGAGTCTCACTCTGTTGCCCAGACTGGAGTGCAGTGGCCGCTCCCGGCCACCGCAGCCTCGACCTGCTGGGCTCTGGCGATCCTTCCGCCTCAGCCTTCCAAGTAGGTTTTGCTTTGTTGCTCCGGCTGGGCTCAAACTCCTGGCTGTAAGTGGTTGTCCTGCCTCATACATTTTTAAAAATTTTAATTTGTTTTTAGTTCCTTGCCTGCTAACTCTGCTCTCCGAGTTTTCCCAGCTTACTCTGTGACCACGTTTTTTGAGCACTTGTGTGGTGTTTCTTTCCTCCTCTGAATGTTCTGCTTAGAACATCTTGTTTTTGTTTCATGAAAGCGGTAGTTTACCTTATTACAGCTACTGAGTTTTGGTAGTTTTTCCTCCTGAATAATTTATTTCCTCCCAGTTGCTTTGGGTGTCTGTCTTTCTTGATGGACTCTGCCCTCAGATGTCTGAAAATCCCTGGCTGGCTGCTGTTGGTGAGGGGAGGAGGGATTAGACAGCGGTGGCCAGCCTGGGAGGGTGACCTGGGGACATCGCTTTGTGCTGTGGTTCTTCCTCTTTGGCTGGCTTCCCAGGGAGGGTTTTCCCCGGCCTGGAGCTCATGGTCTGCCTGCTGGTGTTCCAGAAGTCGAGTGGGGTAAGAGTGTGGGGGTGTCCACCTGCCATGGAGGTCCGTGTCCCACACACCATAGACTGTCCCTCCTCTACAGAGAAGGCTGAGAATGGGGTGATTGGGGTCATAGACTGGCCTCGTGGGGTGCATCTGGAGGTCTGCCTGCTTCCCAGCCAGCCCCCACACTTATTTTCTGAGCCCTGTTCACCCCAGATTCAGACGTACCCGGGCTTACTCGTTTCTGAGCCTTTGGAGGGTCTGTGGGGTTCATTGGCTTGGTTCTCCACTTTTCTGCTGGAGGCTTGGGGTTCAGCTTTGCTGAATGTTAAATGACTGACTTCTTGTCGACATCAACTTTTTGCTCTCACACTTTTGTGGCTGCTGGGTGGGTTTGTGTCTTCTTTTTTTTTTTTGAGTTGGAGTCTCACTCTGTCGCCCAGACTGGAGTGCAGTG